AGAAGGGGCAGGAGCCAGACAGAGCCACCGTCCATCCCTAAGACCAGGCTCCTCTCTCAGCAGGGTCGCCTCTGCCATCCCTCTGGGCCCATGCAGGTTTGGCTGAGTCAGGTGGCCAGGTGTGTGTGGGGGGAGGATGTGGAAGAACAGAGCACCTCCAAACTCCTTTGTTATCACTAAAGGGCCTGCCTTTAGTTTTAGACCCTTGTATTCAATGTGAAGGTTGTTGCTTATAACAGGATAACAGTCATTTAAAATGCAAAAAGGAAGCATATTACCATTTGTTGAGAGTTTGCTACATGTATGTAGCAAGAATGAGCAAGTAGTAAGAGTCAACACTCTTTCCATCCTCATAACGTGCCAGAGAGGATGATAAAATTCTGCCCATTATCCTGATGAGGAAAACTGAGGCCCACAATTCATATTACTTTCTTAAGATAATTGCACAGCTAGGAAATGGCAGGGCTGTGATTTTTACCCGTGCTGTTAAACATTTGCCAACTCTGCTGCAAAAGAGAGATTGCGTTTTCATCTGGCCTTGCCCCTTCAGCCGACCTCCTTCCTGCCTATGCCTCCCAGCTTTGGAGAAACTACAGGTGTAGCCTGTGCTTTGGGTTTTGTGCAAAGGCTTGCAAAAGTACGCTTGCTGGTCTCATACCCTGAATCATAGTTTAGCATTTAAAGTTGGAAACCATCTCTGTGGTCATCTAAATTTAATCTTTTTGCTGGCAGTTAGAGAAACTAAAGCTCAGGGAGGAAAAATTCTGGACTGGAGCTTGAACCCCGGTCTCTAGACTTTGCATCCAGTTCTTCATCTACTAGAAGCCTCCTAGGTTCATTCATTCATTCATTCATTCAATTATTCACTCATTCATTTGTTCAGTCCCTTGAACAGCATTTCAGGGAGTGTGCCTCCATCATTTCACTTGATTCCCAAAAAATAAAAATTCATGAGATCAGTTTCATCGTAGCTGATGAGACAAGGGTGCAGAGGAGGAGACTGAGCTTCAGAGAGGTGAAGTGAGTGGTCCAAGATCCCAGCAGGCAAGTGGCCGAGGTAGAGTTTGAAGCCAGGTCTTTGGAGAAAAGGGAGGCAGCTGGGGAGTTGGAGGAGGCACCCAGTTGGAGCTGGGTGGTCAGGGCAGCCTTGGCCTTCTGTGAGTTTTGCCTCCATTCTGGGGGTGAGGGGTGAAGTCACAGGGCTGGAGATGCAGGTAGGGGTGGAGCTGGGCTGGTGGGTGAAGGGAGGCCATGGAAACAGGTATCCCTGATGTGGGACCATGAGAGGGTCATGGGATGGCCTTCCTGAGATGCCTACAGCCAAGAATCTGAGGAGACCACACTGAGCACTGCCATCTATGGAACCATACCAGGGCCCCATGGCTGGGCTCAGCACCACCCAGGAGTGGCATCAGGTCTGCATTCATTGGGTGGGACTAGGGACAGGCTCAGAGAGGAGGACAGGTGCAGTGACCTGGTGGTTCACATCCAGTCGCTTGTACCTATTCCAAAGAGTTGATGAATTCATAGCATCGAAGGGCTTATAGCTTATCCAGATTATTGGGGCCAGCATTTCCCAAAGTGTGAGTGTAGGGGACAGTGGATGGGGGTGATTACTTGGGGTCTGCAAGGACAGGGAGGTGGTGCACAAGCCTGGTTCTAAATAACATGTTGACCAGTGAGGATTGCAGTCTCTCTTCAGTTCTCCTTCAAGCCTGTGATCACACAGGGAGAAGGGTCTCACCTGGGTCCTGGAGTTTCTTTAACATTTCCCCTAACACTCGCCGGTCTCCTCCCACCTGCCCCTCCAAGTGTTCAGGCAGGAACAGCATATAACTAAAGGATGCAGCCTTGCTCATTCAGTTTTCATTTTATTTCTACTGTTACCTTCTATCAGTGGCAAATAGTCCTTGCTCGTTAATGACAGTAACATTATAAAGACCTCCTTTAAGTTAGTGATTTAAGTTTTAAGAGGTTGCTGTTTGGGAGACAAGTATGAAGTCATGAGTGCCGCAGGCTTCCTAGGCTGTGCCAGTGTTGTGGAATAGAAGGAAAGTCAGTGCAGGCGGGAGGCATTGAGCCTGCCGGCCTCCACTCTGCAAATGGAGTGTAGAGACAGGGCGGGGCCTGCCCAGAAACGTGCAGGAAGCCAGTCCTCCAGGCTGCCAGTGGGCACCTTGCCTACTACCTTTTTGTTCCTGAGGACCTGCAATGCCTCACTCTGCACCCTCTGTCGTTCACACACCTGGAAGCGTGTCCTCTTTAGCCTAGCCTCCTCTGACATTGCTGCAAGTTCTGATCTCGCCTCAAACTTGAGAAGCCCTCAGTCTTTGGGCAGATGGCCTGCTGGCGTGTGAGCAGGAAGGTAAACGCCCCCAGTTTCCATCCCTCACAGCAGGCACCTGTCTGCCCTCTCAGGGGACTCCCACTTCCTGGCCAGGCTGCTATGGAAAGTTAACTCAGTGTCCAGAACTCACCTGGAGCCTCACTTCCTCTAGCACCATTTCCTGGGGCCCCAGGGTGGAGGCACCCCCACTTTGCTCTCAGCCCCCTGAGGCTCCCACAGCACTTCCCACAGGATGGCGTGACTATCTGGTTACGGGTCCATTGCTCCATTTTATTATGCACTCCTTGAGGCAAGTACAGGGCCTTCCTTATTTGACATTCCCAGGACCTGGGGCCTAGCCCATGGAAGGTCCATGGTGAGGACTGTTGAATAATAATAGTTGTAACAATTGCCGTTCACTGAATGCTCCTTGTATCAGACACTGTGCGATGGACTTTGTTTATATTATTTTATTGAATCCTCAGAGCAGCCTCAATAATTAAGATCAAACACAATCCCCACTTTTATGAATGAGGACACTGAGCTCAGAGATGTTCAGTATCTTGCTGAAGGACACACAGTAAAATACAGAACTGAGGCTTGAACCAAAGCAGCTCTGGAGCCAGTGTTCTGAGGAAGTTATGGGAGGTACATGGGGCGGCCTCACACACACACACGCACACACACACGGACACGCACACGCACACACACATGCACACATGCACACACACACGGACACACACACGCACACACACACGCACACATGAACACACACGCGCATGCACACACATACATGCGCGCACATACACACATACTGAGACTGGAGTGACGAATGCACAGGTGTCTTCCCTCACTCTCCTCTCCCTGTTTGCTGTTTGCTCCCACAGCCTCCGTACCTTCTGGGCCCCTGGCTGTAGTTGCCTGTGGGCGCTGCCGCCCTCACCCTGCAGGCTGGCCTGGCTGCCCACTGGGAGCCCATTAGTCAAGTCATCCTAGGCAGGATTATGCCTTCACCAAAACGATATCCAGGACCAGCTGCTGGGCTCGTGTGCAAATTTGTGCTGATTTGATTAGCTTGTTTAGTCATTGCTGCTGATGAGAGCGGGCCACGGCCACCAAATGACGTTCTGCTGCCTGCGACTCTGTAATCGCTTTTGGAAGGGATATTATGTTAATATCTCACACGAGAGTCTCCGATCATGCAGGACGATGGGCAGCCAGGCCCGCGCCATATGGTGCATCCGAGGCCCTCCTTTGTAATCCTGGGTAATTGAAATCCTCTGCCTTATTCAAACTTGGAAAGCCTACCATCTGATGGGCAGCAGAGGGCCTTTTGGCCATGGACTTACCAGTCCTTGTGGGGACTTTCTTTGGGGTACGATGGCAGTATGAGCAGAGATTTATGCCAGAGAAACTTGACCGTTTTTAGAAACAAAAATCTCTGGCATCTGATGGTTTAAGAAGAAAACGATAACCACAACAGCAATAATAGTAACTTCTACTTAGCAAGCAATTCGAATGTTCCAGCCCCAGATCAGGGCTTTACATAAGCTGAGGTACTTTAGGGCAATCTGCCAGTCAAGTATTATTCCCATTTGAAGGATGAGAAAGCTGAGACTCAGAGAGACCAACCAGCTTGCCTGAGGCCACTGGTGAAAAGTGGAGATAACAGGACTTCTCCCTTGTTTGTCTGACCACAAGCCTTGCTATAGTCAGACTCAGCTTGCAGGGTTTTTCGAGAGTATCAACAACCCCCAGATAGCTAACACTTAATGCAGTGCTTGGCAAGCTTGAGCAAGTGTCAGAAATCCCTGGTGGTCTCATTATAGCATAAATTGCTGGGTCCCACCCCCAGAGTTACTGATTCAGCAGGTCTGAGGTGGGACCCAGGAATTTGCATTTCTAACAAGTTCCCAAGTGATGCTGGTGCTGCTTCGAAGACCACCAGCCTAGCCGATCCTTACTGTAAACCCAGTACTGCCCAAATAGGAGAGGTAGGTATTTTCACTTTCAGTTTTCTAATGAGGAAAAGGAAGCTTGGATAGGTGAATTTGCTTTCCTAGTGTCTTCTAGCTGGGGCATAGGATGTGAAAGAAGGTGACTGTGTCCACAGCAGAAAGTTCACAAAACCAGAATTCACCCACGTTTCCTGATTTACCATCCAAAGATGTGGTCTCGGGGAGGTGGTGTTACATTTTAATTTTGCGTCCGCCAGAAAATTGGAGGGTGTGTCAACACTCGTTCCTAAAAATCGGAGGGTATGTCAACACTCGTTCCTAACGGGTTGCCTCATGGCCCCGGGAGGTCGCTCACATTCTCCTGCAGGACTTGGTGTGGCCAGCATGGCTTGGGTCATGGTGGGCTCCTGTTGTGTGGACGTGCAGAGCAGGCCAGGTCTTGCCATGAAGCTACCCTGTGCTTGCAGGCAAGGAAACCAGGCTGGGATAGAACCCTGGGCAGGTGAAGAACTGGGAGACTCGGGGCCGAGTGCACGGGCTTTGCTCAGTTCCGCTGTCCAGGATGCTGCATGCTCTGCAGGGAGGCAGGTGACTGCTAATTAGAGGTCCCCGTTCCTTGCCTAATGGTCAAGGCCTGCTCCGGCTGGCCAGACAGATAACCATTGTTCAACTTCCCTTTATTCCCCTCCCCTCCTTGCCCTCCACTTCCCAACCAGGTGAAAGAAAAGAAACTCAGTAATTCACTGAACATCACCCAAGACCGGGTGCAGACCGATGCCCGGGCGTATAAAAGACGTAGTACTCCCTTCATTCCCGTTTCACAGGTGCACAGACTTCATCTTCGAGAGGCTCCTGCCAAAAGTCACCCAACTGGTAAGTGGGACAGAGCAAGGACTTGAAGTGACACAGGCTAAATCCAGGCCTCCGTCCACTCCTCCGGCTGCCTCTCTCCTCCCCGTCCCTTTCTTGAAGATGCTAAGGAGAGTTTGTCAGACTCCTGGAGGAGAAATGTTGTTTTCAGTGACTCCCAAGCCTATTTGTCAGTTGAAACTCTTTTCTTCCTTCTTTTTTTCCTTATTTTTTAAGTGCACAGTGCCTTTTGAGAATCAGATACTAGGAACTCAAGGACTTCTGGCTTGTCCCCTTGTCTCCAAAGCCCCATCGTCACAGCTGAGGCAGCTGGGTGTCTGTGATGTTCTCACTGGGCTGGAAGCTCCAGAATGGGCAGGAGGGAGCCTGGCTATTCTCTGCAGTGTGGTGGCCCCAGGGCCTGGTGCTTGATACACACACACACATGCACACACACGTGTGTGCAGGTACATATGTATGTATTTGTATTTGTTTGTTGGTAGCAAATGTTTATTTCTTAGCGCTCACAGTAGCCAGAAGGGCCATCCTTAGCCAGCCAGTCTTGCCTGCTGACCTGGAGAAATATACGCCTCTTCTGCCACGTAGCTTGGAGCACAAGGGCATAGGTGAAAACACGGGCCTCGGAGTCCTCAGATCTGAGTCCCATTCTGCCCCCTCAGAGCTGCGAGACCTTGAGCGAGTCCCTTTCCTTTCTGGGCCGCAGAATTCTCCTGGGCCTCCCTCCCAGGCTTTTGTGCCAATTCAGGAGGCATGCAAGCCTCTGGGACAGTGGGCCATCCCACGGAGGCCAGCTGCTGCTAGCCTGCAGCCTTCAGTGTAAGAACTTGAACTAAATAGGGAGAGAAGTCTCGCCACCTCCGGGAACCATCTAATCTGTGTTGTCTGAAGCAGTAGCCAGTTGAGACGTGTGACTATTTACTCTCAACAGATAATTAAGTTAAATTAAGCACAGTTCCTTTTGCATAGTAGCCACATCACAGGTGTTCGATAGCCACATGTGGAGAGTGGCTACTGTGTTGGACAGTGCAGATGGGGACATGTCCACCATAGCAAAGAGCCCAATGGGACTGCACCAAGTAGGTTGTGACATGCTTATTGTTTTCATGTCCTAACACTGCTAATGACACATAGTCTATTGGAAGTCCCCTTGGATCTGCTTTTCAGAGAAGGAGGGGAACAGGCATTTGAAATCATCCACTACATGATTTTATTAGCTCCTACACTGATTGATTGATTGACTGTTGAGACAGGGGCTTGCTCTGTCACTAAGGCTAGAGTGCAGTGGTGTGATCATGCTCACTGAAATCCTAGCCTCAAGCCGTCCTCCAACCTCAGCCTCCCAAAGTGCTGGGATTACAGGCGTGAGCCACTATGTCTGATCACACCTAGTTTTCTTTTAGAAACAAATATCCAAAACACTTGCAGAGTCAGCTGAAATTGGTTAGGTGTTCTCTCACCCATTTTATTCTATTACTTGCTCTATAACCCTTTCTTAGCACCTAGGAGCAGCCTGGACCTCAGCTCAGGCCAGATGAGGGTAACAGTGTCCCACAGCATTAGTGATGTCCAGATGAATGAGGCTTTTACTCTACTTCCTAGGCTGGTGCCTCTAGCTTCTAAACCTCATCAAGATCACAGGTTCCTCTCTCTCCTGAAGGACTGTCTGCCACGGAGACTCCCTGCTATTGTCCCACACATGCTATCAAGGCAGAGGGTGACGAGCCCAGAACCCAATCCCCAGTTAACATTCTGTCCATGAATTTAAGTCCCCCAAAGAATGCCCCTAATGTCCACCAGAGCCCTCTGCACAACCCTCTTAGCAGTGATGGCTATTGCATTTGTGTGTCTAACTGGAGTTCCAATTCTGCCCCTGCAATTTATTAGCTGTGTGACATGAGCATGTGACGTAAACTTTTTGAGTCTCGGTTGACCCTTCCGGAAAGCGAGGACTCTATTATCTTGCTCACCGTGTGGCAGTGAGTTCACATGAGATGGTACAATGTTTCCAAACTTTTCTAGCCTGTGTCCCTTTTGCTAAACACAAAAATCTCTGCCTTCCTTGTGGAAGACTCCACTTCTCTATAACGCCCCACTGATAAGTATTTCATGCACATCCACCAGCCAAGAACACTTTGTCCAGCTTTCCCACAATTTGTAATGAAATGAAAGGGTTTTTTTGTCTTCCAAAAATATAAAATTATGTTATGATGCTGGCTCTGTTGTTCCGAGCTATATCCTTTTCCTTCCCCTCGCCTTTCTTATCTTAGTTCTAGTACACCCCCAGAAGATTACCCCCCATCACAAATGGAACAGGTGGGCAGTGCCCGGGTATGAGCTGCAGGTGACAGGCACTCACTAAACAGTGGGTCCCTGCATGCTGCAGAGGACAGGAAACCTGCAGACAGACCCTGCAGCCGTGGCCAGATGAAGGTCAACCAGAGACCACTTTCAAGTAGCACCTCTGCAGACCCCCAAGTGCAAATAAGTTCCTTAATATTGTCTCACAGCTCTCTTCACTTTTTTAAAAAAACAGACTTTATTTTTTAGAGAAGTTTTAGGTTTGCAGAAAATACAGAAACTTTCAGTATATCCCCTCCACCCACTCTCCCACTTGTCTGCCCCATTGCTAACCTCTTGCATCGGTGTGGTACATTGGTTACAACGGGTCAACCCATATTGATACACTATTATTAGCTCCAGTTCATAGCTTACTTTAGGGTTCCTTCTCTGTGTTAGACAGTTCTATGGGTTTTGGCAAATGCGTTGTCTCCATACCCATCATTACGGTACCATGCAGAATAGTTTTACTGCCCTAAAATTGCCCCGTGATCCGGCTACGCATCACCCCGCTCCTTCTACCCTGGGCCCAGTTTTCTTCACTTTTTCTTCAGTGCATTTACTGCAGTTGTAAAGTTCGAATTCGGAATTACTTGATTAAAATCGGCCTTCCCCATGGGACTGTAAGCAGCTTCACAAGGGCAATTGCTACATTAGGCTTCGCCACACTGTGTTTCCTGGGCTTTATCACAGTACATGGGATGTTAGTGTAAACACTTAGTTGAACAAATGAATGAGTAAAAGAGTGAATGAGAAGTGAAGTAGAGGGAATGAAGGAGGCTGGAGGAAGGAGATGTCAGGGCAGGAAGAGGAAGCTCTCTCCAAATCAACATTGCCCGTCCCAGGAGCCCCCTTTGAGGACAATGAAATGGCAAAGCAAAACTGTTCTGCAACCGAGTGGCTGATAACCCACGCTGGGGTTATCCCGGCAGTGGGTGTGGCCCCTCCTTGCACCATCAGGGGTGACAAGGACGGGAGCAGGGAATGCTGTCACCAGAGCCAGGCCCTGAAATGGCCTGACAAGGGCTCAATCCGTCACTGTCTTAACCATCGTGACTTTCGGAGTCACCTCCAGATTTTTTGGCCCAGTAAATGATTAAGCAGTTAAATAAAGACAGGCTCATTAAGGAAACATGCTTCCCTGCGTATCTGCCCCAGTTACTCCTAAATTTAATCTGTCCATGAGCCAATTTCCAGGACAAATGCGCACAAGTATTTTTTTTTTTTTTTAATCTCCAGAGCCTTAACCTTGAAGGTAGTCATTGGCCAAGGCTTATCCTGATGCCTGTCTCCCCCATCCTGTCTCCTCTGAGACTCAATGGAGGGGTTCCTTCCCCACACCCAGACAATCCCGTGGGGCCGCTGGAGAGGGGGCAGGGCACTCGTGGGGCCCAGTTGCCAGCAGGCAGGGCCGGGTCCATGAAAGCGCCCTTTCTTCTCTGTCACACGGCTGCTCCCAGCCACGGGGGGCTCTGGGGCATAATCGGATTGAGTTTCCTTGGCCAACAGGTTGGCTTTGTTCTCTTGTCCAGATTTTCATCCACTTGGCTCCCCAGGTTGCTGCTCGACCGCTCTCTGACCTGGATTCACTGAGGACACATCAGGCCTTTGCCACTGGGTTCATGGGGTGGCCAGAGCCCAGGGTTGGGTGAGTGTGGGGTGGGTCTGAGGGGGAGGATGTGCATCCAGGGGCCAGGCCAGCCCCTGCAGGATTTTCTGATGTCAAATCGCCTGTCCTGTGCCTGAGCCCTATTACCCTAGCAGAATGAGGACATGCGCCTCCCTGGGCTTCCCCAGCATGGCCTGAGTGAGTATCTCCCTGGCTGCAGTGTTTGTAATCAGTAGGTCAAGAGAGGACCCTCCTGCCCTGCTCCCATGGCGCCACTGCTCCTTCTAGCAGTCCCAGCTTAACACCCACACTCCTTATGCTCCTTATGAGGGCCCTCTATGGGTTAGGGTGTAGAAGGAGGTTGTGTTGGTTAAAAACACCAGGTAGAAATCTCTTTTCTCTGAATGCTGAAGGAGTGCTATTAAAGAGACAGTTCCTTTCAGTCTAGTTGGATCCTGGGTGAAGACTCAGGTCTTGCTCAAGAAGGGAGAGCCATGCGTTTCCAGGGAGGAGGCAGGACATCCAAGACCAAGGTCCTGGCAGGTTTGGCTTCTGGTGAGGGCTCTCTTCATGGCCAGGGCTCCTTTAGCTTCTTCCACTCCTGGGCACAGATGGACCCTGTTAGACTGTTGCCTTGCTCACAATCTCTCATGCCCCTCCCACTGCCTCTGGTGTTGTGTCTGTGATGTCCTCTTCCTGGGGACAAACGCAGCTTCAGCTGCTATAGCCTGGGACCCATGGGCCTCCCTGCACCAGTCCTAGGACCCAGCTTCCCCAGGCCACTAGTGTTGCTTCAGGAACAGTGTCCGGTCAGTCCCGACTGCTAATAGAATCCCATGGACTGAGTGGCTTCAGGAACAGGAATTTATTTCTCACAGTTCTGGAAGTCCAAGATCAGGGTGCTGGCAGGTTTGGCTCCTGGTGAGGGCTCTCTTCAGGCTTGCAGACAGCTGCCTTCTTGCTGTAACCTCACATGGTGGAGAGAAAACTCTAGTGTCTCTTCCTTTTCTTTTTTTTTTTTTTTGAGACAGAGTCTTGCTCTGTGCCCCAGGCTGGAGTGCAGTGGCAAGATCTCGGCTCACTGCAAGCTCCGCCTCCCGGGTTCACGCCATTCTCCTGCCTCAGCCTCCCGAGTAGCTGGGACTACAGGCGCCCACCACCTCGCCCTGCTAATTTTCTTGCATTTTTAGTAGAGACGGGGTTTCACCGTGTTAGCCAGGATGGTCTCGATCTCCTGACCTCTTGATCCACCCGTCTCGGCCTCCCAAAGTGCTGGGATTACAGGCTTGAGCCACCGCACCGGCACTAATTCCATCATGAATGCCCCCACCCTCATGACCTCACTGAAACCTAATGACCTTTCAGAGGCCCCACTTCTTAATACTGTCACATTGGGGGTTAGGGCTTCCACATACCAATTTGGAGACACACGAACATTTAGTCCATAAAAAATGCGCAGGTGGCCCAGACTAAGCTGATCAGCTCCCTTTCCTGGGCCTGTCAGGATCCTTCTCTGGCTTTTGGTTTGTTTGTTTGTTTTTTTAAAATAGAAATAGGCATATGTGTGAGAAGGTGAGGGGAGAGTTGCAGGCAGCCACCTACCTGGCCAGGGGAGGAGGCCCTTTTGCAATAGGAAAGAATGAAGACAGCACCAAGAGAGGCACGGAGGAGGAAGACGGAGAAGGAGAGGCGCTTTCACCTCCCTGGACCCAGTGGGCCCTGAGGTCTGCTTCTAACCTGTCTTTTCTCTATTTATTTTTGTCAGCTAATAAGTCTGTCTATCTACATATATTCATTCAAATTCCATTTGTTTTCCTTGCAAGTAAAAGAATGCTGACAACTTCAGGATTGGGCAAGGAGCTAGTCCTTTTCCCCTCTTGAGAGATGGGGTAGCAGAGTAGTAGGAGCAGAGCAGCCAGGATGTCCAGATTTGAAGTTGTGCATGTTGTTCTGGGCAAAATTCTCAGCTTCCTGCTCCTCAGTTTCTTATCTGTAAAGTGGGGTTAATAATAGTGCCTACCTCGTGCAGTCAGGGCTGAGGATTAAGTGAGTTATATGTGTACGGTGCTTTGCACGCCACCTGGTGCGCAGTCAGCTCAGCATCTGTGAGCTGATTTCCATCTCCCTTGGGTCTTGTGGCCTGTGAACAGAGCCTTACTGGGCCCAAGTGCTGAGGAAATGGAACGAACCGAGGGAGACAGCAATACTCTCTTGTGATCTAGTTAGTAGCCAGCTGGCAGACTTCTGGGATTGCTCACTGATGAGGGGCTGCTGGGTGCCTGATGAGTCCTGGGAAATGCCTGGGGCAGGGTGGCTGGCCTGGGCCTGTCTGTCCTGGGATGCCCCTCCCAGAGTTCCCAGCATGGTAGCACTAAGGCTGTTTTGGGGCCCGCTGGACCCTACGTGGGAGGATAGAGAAGTGGAAAGAACCCTGGGCCTGCAATCCAGCAGTTGTACACCGTGGTTTCCTGGAGGAACTCATGCACATGTGTCCTGGAGGCCTGCAAGACAACGGCACCGTGGAGATGACCAGCAACTAATACCACCCAAAGGCCCACCAACAGGAGAATGGATACACCAGCAGGGGTGCATGCATGCCCCAGAGCACAGTACTGGTGATTCACACAGTAGAGTGAATCAGTGTCAGCCACTTGCATCAACACCGATGAGGCTGAGACTCATAATATCAAATTTCGAATTGCAAGTAGCAGAAGGATCAAAGTTATATTTTTAATAAAGCTTTGAAACACAAGCAAATCGAGCACTGTATTGTTTAGGGACACATTCACATTTGGTAAAGACATAAAGCAAAGCAAGGGAGCGAGACAAAAATGAAATTCCAGGGTGGTCAGGTGGTCAGGGCTTGGGGGTGGCATGGAGTCGGGGAAGGGCACCAGAGCACATCTCACCTCAGCTCCGATGGCTTTGGCAGGTTCTAGTCCAGACATGGAGCTGTAGGTTCACAGCTGTTTGATTGCTTGTTATGCTTTATAACAATATAAACTGCATATGTTCAGTTGAAATATTTCATAATAAAGGTTTTCTAAAAAAGAACATTGGGCTTATCTTTCCCATCAGATACAGGCATTTTTGTTTTGACTTTCTATTTCCTTTTTTTAAATGACCAAGGATCACTTTGCCTCTGCAAATATAAATTTAAAAAAAAATAAGGCTGGGCACAGTGGCTCACACCTGTCATCCCAGCACTTTGGGAGGCCGAGGTGGGTGGATCACTTGAGGTCAGGAGTTTGAGACCAGCCCGGCCAACATGGTGAAACCCCCTCTCTACCAAAACTATAAAAAATTAGCCAGGCATGGTGGCGTGCATCTGTAATCCCAGCTACGTGGGAGGCTGAGGCAGGAGAATCACTTGAACCCGGGAGGCAGAGGTTGCATGAGCCGAGATTGTACCACTGCACTCCGGCCTGGGTGACAGAGCGAGACTCCATCTCAAAAATAAATAAATTATTAAAAAAAATTTTTTTTTTAAAAAAGCACTGGATTTTCAGTTGGGAGCAAAAGAGTTGAGGTTGCCCCTTCCCACAACCACTGTCATTGCTGGGACCTCTGCAGCCATCTCCTCCCAGCCTCCATCCTCACCCACTCCATTTCAGTCTCTGTCTGGCCCCCAGCAGAGTTATCTTTGTAACTGTAAATGACATTCGCTCATTTTCCTGCATCCTGAAGTCCAAGCCTGTTCTTTTCAACCATGTATCTCCCTGTTCCTGTTCACCCCTTGTATGTAGCCAGTTGTAGAGTTCATGGGACCAAAAATCTGCCTTCTGCTTCGGTGTCTTTGCTCAAGCCATACCTGGGAGAATAAGTCAGGCCTGAGCACCTGTGTCTGGGTCTCAGGGTTCAGCATGCAAAAGAGCCAGGGTTGAGACTCTATCACCCACCATGAATTCTACATGGAATGACTTTTCTGTCCCTAAGTGATCCTTCCAGGCTCATTTCAGGCAAAACCTCTTCCAGGAAGCCTTCCCTGATGTCCACCCTTTATTCTCACATCCCCTCTGCTAACCCCTATCAAAGTACCCTAAAATTTCCACAGTACTTTGAAATTTTCTGTATATGTGCCTCCTCCACTAGACTACCTACTCCCCAAAGGCAAGAACTGGTCTTACTTTGTTTGTTTCAATAGCAACTGTATCAGCCCTGGCATGGTAACACTCAAATGGTAATGCCCTGAGGGAAGGGTTTTGCCTGTTTTGCTCATCTGCGTATTTTAAGTGCCTAGAACACAGCCTGGCATATGGTAGCTGTGCTGCAAATGGTTATCGAGTGAATGAATAAGTGAATGGATGGATGTTAACCTGTACTGAGTACTGAGTAAAGTTCTATTGCTTAGAAGCTGTGTGAGCTTCGATGAGACACTTAACCTCTCTGAGCCTCCCTTTCTCCCTCTGTCAATGGGGATATTAATAGTACTATTCTTGAAGGATCACCATGAGATTTGGCAGAAAGATGCATGTGACAGAGCCTAGAAAATGGCAGATGCACAGCAGCCCGCGCTGGTTGCATATGGATTTAGCCCTGACCCCAGGGGCCTCAGGCAAATTCCCAGTGGCTCTGAGGTTGTCCATCTGAGCTCAGAGTCCCCTCTCAGCCTCCCTGGGTGGTCCATGGGAAAAGGGGGTCGCAGGTCTGCGCTCCTCCTCCTTAGTCAGGGGTCAGTGACCCCTAGGGTCACCTCTGACAGTAGGGTCAGTGGATCTATTGTGCAGGGCCTGTTGGTGTCTGGGCAGCCTCACTGAGTCCCCAGAGCCCAGCTGGTCAGTGCAGCCAAGGTCACGGTCCTCGTTCCTTAAACGGCTCTTTCTTTAAATAGAGGCAAAGTCTTCTTCAGCAGCCACAGGCAGCTCCTAACGCAGCCAGCTGTCTGAGCAGTCTCTCAGCTCCCTTTGGATCCTAACATGCTAGAGAGGGGGCAGGATGGGTGGAGAAGGTATCACACAGACCTAGCCCCAGCGCTGCCTTCCCCAGCTCGGCCGTGTGACCTGGGCAAGTGACTTCACATCTCAGAGTCTCAGTGTCCACATCTTTTGTGTGTGTGTGTATGACAGAGTCTTGCTCTGTCACCAAGGCTGGAGTGCAGTGGCATGATCTTGGCTCACTACAACCTCCACCTCCCAGGTTCAAGCAATTCTCCTGCCTCAGCCTCCCGAGTAGCTGGGATTGCAAGCGCGCGCCACCACACCCGGCTAATGCTGGTCTTTT